AAAAAGAAGGTGTCTGGAACCTTCTCTTTCCCCATCAAATTTGTTTTTTTTTCCCGAACCAGCCCGCACCCTGCACCCTGCGCCCTGCGCCCTGCGGCCCGAACCCAGGTCCCCTGCACGTCCGAGCCTCGCCCCTGCACCAGCCGGCGCCCTTGCTCCCTGCTCTGCGCCCGACGTGCCTCCTGAGCCTAGATCCCGCGCAATCATCACTCCTGCACCTGCTCTGCACCGAATCTGCATCAATCTCCAGCTCTGCACTGCGCCAGCCTTCCTCTGCACCAAATCCCCTTGCCGCCTGCTGCGCCGAACCCACTTTGCTTGCACGCCTGCACTCTGTGCCAGCATCATGACTCTGCACCGAGCCTCCCTGCACCCCTGTTGCTTTGCCTCTGCACGCTACAACAGCTCCAGACAAATTAGCATTATTATTGATTGACAGAGCAAGGCTTTTTTATTATTTTTATCTTTATTTTTATCTTTTATTCGGGTATATATATATGGAGAAAAATCAGATTGAAGGGGGGGGTCGGTATTGATTTTTGGGGGGTCTTTGGTTGATTGTTGGAGTTTGATTTGGGAGTCATTGTTCTGGGTTTCGGGAGAAAGGAGGGAGGAGAAAACCGAGCTGATTCCGGCAAGATTCCGGCAAGATTCCGGCAATCTTTCAGCCTCCTTTTGTTAGGTAACTTCCTGAACAGAGGGATTTTTGGGAAGGGGTAGTGAAGGAGACGAACGGAGCCTGGTCCCGTGGGTGCGATCCCTCCCTTCCGATCTGGATCTACCTCCTCCTAAAAATTCGTGGGTGTTTCTGTTATTTTTTGTTGATTTTGTTTAGATCTGGGTTTAAGCTTGTACATGTTCCGTATGAAATTGAATGAAAAAATCAAAAAAATTTTGTTCAGTTCATTTTGTCTGATGAATGTGCTTTCCTTTTTGTTTTTTTCGTTGATGAATGTAATCTTTTTTATGATGAATGTGTTCTTTCTTTTGAAAATGACGAACCGTAATTTTAGTTTTTTTTTTATGTTCGATCTGTCCTTGCCTGTTTTAGTTGACGGGTTGTGTTTTTGTGGGTCGGGTTGACCCGACCCAACCTAAAAAAAAAAACTAAAAAATGTTAAAAAGAAAAAAATATATATA